ACAAACAAAAAACAAAACAACACAAAAACAAACAAACAAAAAAAAACCCACACAAATTCTTTATATGATAACAGCATCACTATCTTGGATAAAGTCATACTGATACTCCTAATATCCACCTTTTGTTTTCCTACAGCCCACCAGTGAAGGTGAGACCAATGACATTAATCCTTTGAGCACAGTTGCTTGTATCCTGCATTGTCTTTTCTGTATTTTCTTACCAGTTCCTTTTCATCATCTTGCCTCAGTTTCACAGCGCCAATTCAAGAAGGGTATGGACAGTGCTCGCATTAATAGTGTTTGACTTTTGGGTGGTTCTGTGTGGAGCCAGGTAATCCAGGTAATTTGGTAATCCTTGTGGGTCCCTTTCAACTTGGGATACTCTGTAGATGCATGCTTCTATGCTTCTACTCCTTTTTTCTTTTTTCTTTTTTTTTTTTTTTTCATTTTAGCTTCAGTTTGTACCTGTAGAAAATGACATCACAGCAGCTAAGGTGCAGCTAAAATCAAGGTGAGTTTCCTGAGTGCGTTACGAGAACAATTCTAGTCCTAAGGTTGTTGGCTTGGGAGTAGTTCAGAAACACTGCAACCCAAAGGGATGCTGGTTACTTCGAGCTTTACTGGGTGATACAAGGTGGTGAAACGTGGACTGCTGTTTTGCTTGGGGTTAGGCACTGGCTGAACCCTTTGAAGAACTCTGTCCCTCCCTGGAAGGTTGTTTGGTGTATACCTCTTGTGGCAGCATTAGTGTGTGGCCCAGAAGATTGAGAGGGGCATGTGCTGTGGCATCAGCAGAGGGCTGTGCTTTAGCCTCTGATGCTTGTGGTCAGGAACTAGCTGCAGAACAATGGCAGGTGTTCTTCCCAAGAGAAGAAGAAGGAGGTTTGCCACTTGGTTGCCTCTCTCTTTTCTCCTTTTCCAGAGAATCACTGTTGTGCCTCACCTCAAGTACTGTGTTCAGTTTTGGGCACCTCAGTACTGAAAGGACATTGAGGTGCTGGAGCAGGTCCAGAGAAGGGCAACAAGGCTTGTGAAGGGCTTGGAGAATGTGCCCTACGAGGAGAGACTGAAGGAACTGGGGCTGTTTTGTCTTGGGAAAAGGAGGCTGAGGGGAGACCTTATTGCTCTCTTCCAATATCTGAAAGGTGCTTACAGTGAGAGCGGGATTGGTCTCTTCTCACTGGTGAGAGGTAACAGGACGAGGGGAAACGGCCTCAAGCTGCACCAGCGTAAGTTTAGGTTGGATGTCAGGAAAAACTTTTTTACAGAAAGTGTTGTTAAGCACTGGAATAGGCTCCCCAGGAGGTGGTTGAGTCACCATCCCTGGATATGTTTAAAAACCTTTTGGATGTGGTGCTCAGGGACATGATTTAGCGGAGGGTTGTTAGGGTAGCACGGTTAGGTCATGGTTGGACTCGATGATCTTTAAGGTCTTTTCCAACCTGAGCGATTCTATGATTCTATAATTCTATGATGGGTGTTCACATTGCTGTTCCTTGAGGGGAAGCAAGAGCAGAATGAAGTAGGGTCCTCTCTAATGGTGCTGCAGCTGGAAGGTGCAAATGTTTTATACATACAACTGGAAGAATGAAAAAGAAATATCTTCTTCTTCGGAATTAATTTTTCCACTAACTAAAAACAGACATATGTATAATACATACACACATATATTGCTCAGAAATCTTCCTGCACATTCTTTCTTCCACCTTCAAAATGTATTAACCTGAAGTCATGAAGATGTAGCTCCATACAGGTCAAAACTAGCAGTTATGAGAACGTGATAGTGTTTTACATCAGGCACTGTCCTCTATTATATGAAAAGAACTCAAGGAAGGCAACTGAATTGTAGAAATGGTTAGATAGGGGGCTGCAACAACAACATCAACAAAAGCTTTTAGTACTGGGGAAAGTGATTTTCCTGGATGTTTTGCTGTGGAAACACATCTTTGTCAAATAAATTAGAAGTGTAATGGAGTGAGATCTGATAAACACAGAGCTTCCCTGGGCTACAGGTGGCTAACTGCACATCTAGAAAACCCTGCTCTTCCTTCTGCCCTGGAAGGTGCCTGCTGCCTGAGACTGGTAAGGACTGTCCCAAATCAACCTGAGGCAATCAACATCACTTTGTGGACACCTGAAAGTATTTCTCTGGAGCTGTTTGCCTTTGAAAGAGAGTGCTCAGAGTGTTTACTGTCTGAAGACTTGGCCTGTAACAAATAACTCCAGCTTGATATGGGAGACTGGGAGTTGATACCATTGTACCCTGTGAAGATAGGCGTCTCCCTGCTCCCTCTTATCTGCTGACTTAAATTTGCTAGGCCTGGGAACAAAGGAGTTCCTGCTGAGATCCCAAAGCTAGAAGCTGTCACTCCGAAAGAGCTGACTTGACCACTTCAGACTATAAAGAAGAGTTTGTACTGTCATCATTAGTCATCATCAACGGAACAACACAACCTCTGACGACCCATCAGACTGAAGATCAGCAGCTGACGCCAAGACATCCCCGGATTTAAGAGTGGTGAACCGCTTTGCTTTGCTGTGTTTGTAGATCTGCCTGTCCTTTCTTGTTTTCTATCTTTTCTCTTTATCTTCTTTTACTCCTTTACTTGTCTTACCTGTGAAGCTTATTAATTGTAGTTAGCCAATTAGCCAAGTTTACGTCCAAGTAGTTGTTAGTTGTTCAGAAAGATCTCAATGAATTGATTTATATTATTCCTAGTCTTGGATGACTCCATCATGGTAGCAGCCCCTTGCTGACATGGGGAGGTGCGACTCAGGAGGTAGAAAAAGATTCACCTCCCTCGAAACCCACTGAATGGGACACCTGCTCAAGGGCTCAGGGCTGCCCTCTTGCTTCTCCTGAAAATCTGACCAGAAAGAAAATAGAATCACAGGATTCTTTGAGTTGGAAGGGACCCTTAAATGCCATCTACTCCAACTCCCTTGCAGTGAACAGCTGCAGCTAGATCAGGTTGCTCAGAACCTCATCCAGCCTCATCTTGAACATCTTCAGGGACAGGGCTTCTACCAGCTCTCTGGGCAACTTGTTCTAGTGCATCACCACTTGTATTGTTCACCTACCTTACCTAAATAGGCAGGGTCAGTATTAAATACAAGCATGAGCAAAAGGAAGGGTTGGAGAAATGAAGCAATAGATGCAACTATATTTGATGAAGACCGTACTTTAGTCCGACTGAATAATCAAACCTGAAACAGGAACGGAGAAGGAAAGTGATGCTCACATCCTAAGCTGCAGTCCCTTGATTAAAATACCAGAGCAAGGCTGGCTTCTCATGGCCTTGTCCCTTGGTGCAGCGCAAGCCTGGTGGAGCCACTCCGGAGAGTTTGAGGCACCGGCAGTGTAACTGAGCAGCAGCAGCATTCCCTTGCCACAGCTCTGCAGCCAGTGTCCTTGTTTTGCTGGGGCAGGAAGGTACCTTGGTGCGACTCTGTGGCATGCCTGGGGCTGAGTTTGGAGCTGGGTACTGCAGGCCACAGCTCAGCCTGAGCTGTCCTGCTGGCAGAGATGACCTTAAAACACAGGAGGACAAGAGGGTGGTCTGTGTGGGTTTTAACACACCGGGCTGTGAAATGAGAGGCTGAAGTCCTGTGGGGGCTAAAACATGCGGAGAAGCTCTGGAGGGCTGGGAGTCGCTGGGCACGGGGAGCTGGGGCAGCCCGGTACCTCGGGATGCTGGGACGGACATCCTGCAGCCTGCGAGGGGCAGAGAGGACCGAGGCAAAGCGCTTTGCTCACGGACTGCTTTCAAACGCGCTTTACTT